GATGCAGTATCTTATTAAACATTCATTTAAAATGGTTTGCAGCCTAGCAAAATTCCTATGTGTGGTTGAGCATTTTCCCAGCCACTTCTCAGTTTGGGGGTTCTTTCCTGGCATGAAAAAAGTAGGGAACAGCTGTGCCCTGCCACGAAGGGATGGGCCATTTCAGAACTGGAAAGGGACTTAGAGTCTACGAGAACACCCTGCAACTTTCCGATGAAGTGACTGAGGCGTAGGGCAGTTAATGACTGGGCCAAGACCACACAGTGGGTGATGGAACTAGATCTCTGGTTTTTTTGGTCCTAAGCTGTAGATCTCACATTCTACCAAAGTCAAGCCTATTCTTTGACTTTGTCATCCCATCTGCAGGGGGGTCAAGGAATTTCATTTTATGGGAGGTACTGAGCCATGGAAAGGTGCAGCAAATCAGAGTCCACAGAGCTTGCACATAAGTGTCTAGCTGGAGTGACCAGCCTTCTGATAAAGATATTAAAAAGGAGGAGAACAGCGGTTTCCAGCAGGGATTTTAGTATCTTAAGTATTACCACCAATACCTCCTCCCTTCTGAAGTTTTGACCAAAGGAGTAATACACAGAAAACAATAGCCATATTGAAAGTGAAATTTCTGGATTGAATAAGGCCCAGCACAATCAGTGGAGAAATCTGATAAAAGCTGAATTAGAGAAGGTGGCTGGAGGCTCACTCAGGCTGGGATGTCAGAGCTGGCAGGTGTGTGGCTCAGGCTCTCTCCTGACTCATACATCCGACCGCAGGCACAGCAGCAGGAACAGGGAATGGGCTCATAGCTGAGCACTCCCTTGATAGGCAGTGACCCTTCCCACTGTGAATGGCAGGCTCTGACTTACTACCAGCAGCTGTTCCTCTCTTGAACAGGGTGTAAGGAAGAGAGTTTTGAGAAGTCCAAGAGCTATGGGTGGAAGCATCCTCCTCTCCTGTGGAGTGAAAATTCCTTCTGGGGATTGGACAAGAGAGTAAGGAAGAAAAGGGATGCCCTGGCCAGGTGGCTCAGTTGGTTGGAGAGTCATCCGGTACACCAAAAGATTGCAGGTTCGATTCCCGGTCAGGGCACATACCTAGGTTGCAGGTTGGATCCTGGTCGGGGCCCTTACGGGAGGCAACCAATCAATATTTCTCTCTCACATTGATATTTTCTCTCTCTCTCTCTAAAAATCAATAAAAAAACAGCAACAACCATATTCTCGAGTGAGGATTAAAAGAAAAAAGGAATCAGGAAATGCCAGGAGAGAGATGAGAAAGAACATTTTCAGAGAAATCAAGATTAGAGAGAGATTTAAGGGGGGGTGGAGAAGAGAGGAACAAAAGATCCCTTGACTCAAAAATGGTGAAGGAAATTGTATATTCCTCATTGCTGGGGCTTTCTGAGTTGGTCTTGATGGCAGGGAATCAAATATGTCAGTAGGGATAATATTGGGGTACATGTTGGGCCCCACATATGGAATGTGCTTCTGATACTGAGAAGGATTGGGTTAGAGAGTGGTATTTTGAAAAACCTGGATGTGTTAAAAAAAAAAAAAGAGATCGTCTGAGACATGAACAGCCTAGTAGCACATCAAGTTGGCTAGTGCCTTTGCCACCTGTTTCTTTTGGAGCTGAATGCTGAATGCTGAACGCAGTTTGTTTGGCTCTGAAGAAACAGACCACCTTGCTTGGTCGGGCGTGCGAGTGGTGTTTATGGCCACAAAGTCTGAACCCCTGACAAGGCCTCCCTGTTTCCGCCTGTGATGACATTCACTTGGTAAAGCCCAGAACATAACTGTGTTTTCGCTTCGAAATTGATAACGCGATAGTGCCCCCGTGGATAACCATGGCACTTACGTCGATTATCAGTTACATTGAATACCTCTCCCTACCATTTTACCTTTCCCTCAGTCTACTTGGCCCTTGAAAAAAAAAATAGAAAGTTTTATAGTAATTGAAATGTGTCAAGTGACAGATTTTTGTGGTGTTAATTGAATTTACAGTGAAGATGTTAATTTCTGCTTCTATCTGTGGGTGGTCTTGAGATATAATTAAGTTAGAGGTGGGAATAATGATTGATGTACATAAGTTCTAACCACATCTTGGTTTGGCTATTTTGATCCTGTCCAAGTGGAATACATGGAAGTTGCAGTAGCAGTCCCTATAAATCAAGCATATGCACCAGTCCTATATGTTTCTGCTGTGTCCTTCCCTCCTCCTTCCCTGTCCCTCTTATTTCTAACTTTTTCATAGGGGAAAAGGCAAGGCTCACATGTTAACTACATCTATTCCATGTGGGTTAATGCTTTAGATGTTATTTCCTCATCTCCTCCACTAGAGTGCAAGTTCCCTGAGGACAGATATTTTTTTTAAGTACGTTTATGTGTATGTGAAATAACAAATACTCCTTCTCTACAGACAGTTTATAAAAACGTCTTTTCATTGCAGAGTACCTAGAAAATGCATTAACATTTAAAGAAGAAAATAAAAATCTCCCCCTAAATTCTATCATCAGGAGTAACCACTGTTGACACTTGGGTCTATTTTCTTTCAAGCTGTGTTTGTTTAGTTATAAATTCAGGGTTATACTGTCTATATGGTTACCTTTATTGTACTTTGCACTCTGTGGCTTTCTTTGTCAGAAGATTCAGTTTTTCTTTAATTCTGGAAAAAAATCTCAGCCATTATCTCTTGGATGTTTCCTCTCCAACATGATCTCTATTGTCTTCATACGTAGCTACTCCATCAATCCTCCATGTACATTAACTTAAACATTTTGCCCCCTAGTTCTCTATTTCTCTGTGCTCTGTCTGGGAAGGTTTCTTCAATTCTATACTCCAGTTAACCAGCTCTTTTCATTCGTGTCTGGTCTATTGTTTTGCCTATCTGCTAAGTTTTTCATTTCAACAATGGTTTATTTTATTTCCAAGATAAATAGCTAGTTTCTTTTCATGCCTTCTCACTTTTTTTGATTTATAAAAAGCTCTTCTTACCTTGTGGATGTAAATACCACCTCTGTCTCTTTGAGGATTTAAAAAATACTTGTCATAAAGTCCTTTTCTGATTGTTCTAGCATCTTTGTTTCTTCAGGTATGAATTCTTTTATTGGGCGAGTCTGATCATTGGATGTCCTCAGATATTCCCTAATTTGTGTTTGTAACTTATTTGCAAGGCAGTTTTAAGTATTCTCCTGCCCTATATCTGTAAGGGTGTGTGCTTTTAAATCAGAGCTCATATCAACAGCTCAGGTCAGAGCTGTCTTCCTGTGCTGCATACCCTATGGTGCAAGCTTGGGTCCCAGTCTCATGTGGATGGCTTAATTTTGGCTCCTTGACACAGACAGGAGCATGCTTTTTGGCTGTGACTCATGGTGGACGGTGCAGATGTTTCAACCCCATTCATAACAGCATGGTTCTGTCCATCATCCCCTGGTGGATGTTGGGACTTCTGCTCCCATGGCTCATAATGGACCCATCCGTCCATGGACCTTGTGGCTTTGATTTCTACTTAAAATTGTAGAGTCCCTTCTTTTGGTTCATTTATTTTTAGGGAACCCTTTCTATTTTTTATCTGATTCCCTGTGCTTATTTCCAAGTACTACTATGTAAATTTTAAAATATCTATAAATTTTATGTTTTAGGAGTAGAAGAGGGAGGTTATTGAGTGTGTTCATTCTGATTTTGACTCAGTTATATTTCACAACCTGCTTTTATTTTTTCAAACTCGATTATATATTCTTGGAA